GACATCTGTCATCAAGTGGAAGCTAGATGACCATTTATAGGGGATATCATAGAGTGATTTCCAGTTAGGTACAGATTGGATGGGAAGGCCTGTGAGTCTCCTTCAAACTCTTGAGATCTGGTCATTTTCAGCATGAGAACTGAGAAAGGAGGTCACTTTTGTTTTGCCACTGGACGTTGATGACTCTGGAAGAGACAGTGAGGCTGATGACTTGGTATAACTCTGGCTCACTTAAATCCAATTCATACGCAAGTCAAGAAATCACCCTTTCACATCATTGGTCCTCTTTGAGAATGAAGGATGAACAACAACTACCCTGAGAACTAAATTCAGCTGAGCATCCCTTGCAGAGGGAATCATCCCAACCCAATGTTTTCTCTGTCTCCTAGCACATTAGAGGCCATCCCAGGATGCTCAAATGAGCTTGAAGCACATGTACATATAAATGCAACAGCAACGTTGGCTTTACTCAAGCAGGGCTTCTTGTTGTAATGTTTGAAAAATTTGAGAGACAGTTTCTGGGTAATCAGTCATTTTATTAATAATGCTAGCATTTTAAGGGGCAGCTAGATGGCGCAGTGGATACAGCACCGGCCCTAAAGTCAGGAGGACCTGAGTTCAAATCTGGCCTTAGACACATAACACTTACTAGCTGTGTGACCCTGGGCAAGTCATTTAACCCCATTGCCTAGCCAAAAAAAAAATTATGCTAGCATTTTATTAATAAGTCAGTGGCACTCTCAAATGCCAAAAACTCCTCATGGTGGTGAGCTCACAGTTTATGTGCTTGTGGAAGAGGGGGTATTCCTTGAGGGTGGCAATCAACTCTGAGAATTATTAATTCTCAATTAATTAGAAAATGAATATTATAATGAGATATAGGCTCATTCTCATGAGGGTCTTGGGGGGACAAGACTTGGATCACACAAGTCTCAGTCAAAGAGATTTATCAATTTCCATATCACCAGTCTGACAAAAGGGAGAATCCATATTTTCCCAGACCTCCCTGAGTAGACACAATGAGCAGGAATCCACCCATTCACATAAACCAGAAGTAGGGAACCTGTGGTCTTCTAGGTCCTTGGGTGTGGCCTTTTGACTGAGTCCAAGTTTTACAGGACAAATCCTTTTATTAAGGGGATTTGTTCTGTGAAGTTTGGATTCAGTCAAAGGGCCCTGAGGGCCACATGTGGCCTTAAGGCTGAAGGTTCCCCACTCCTGGCCTAACCTCAGAATTTCTTTTAGTGTCTTTGATTAGATCTTAGCCTAGGTAAGTCTTTGCCCAAGATTTTCCACACTGGTTGATTTCTGGATGAAGAAGTAGAAAAAGGGGAAAACCTTGGTCCCAATTCAATAATGTTATTAAACACAAGAGAAATATCATTTCTCTCACTTTTCAATTTAGAAATGGTAACCTCTAACACAGGATCCTAGCATGGGATAGTTGCTAGGGCACTGTTCTTGAAGTCAGGAAGACTTAATTCAGCCTCTTGGACATTCAGTTGGGTGACCCTAGACAAGTCACTTAATCTCTCTGATCCTGTTTCCTCATCTGCAAAACGAAGCAGGATGAATTTGTTGGTCTCTAAGTTCCCTTATAGCTCAAGAGCTAAGATTCTAGGATCTAGTAAGGATCTCCTGGTACACTGGTGTGTTTTGATATGTTAAAACATTATAGTACTTAGGAGACTTTAAGTCTTACCCTTTGAGTACTTTGTTTCCCTTTGCTCTGTGTTTTGTATCTATCAGTCTCACATTTGGTCTAATTTCCTAAAATCCTAATTTACTTGCTTGGTGCCAAGATTCTAGATATCCTAAACAAATCTCTGATTTCTTGAGGTAGGGTAACCAGGTCATTAAGGTTTTTGCACCCCACTCCCCAGCCTTGTCTCCCTTTTTCCAAGAGTAGAGACAGGAATGAAATAACATAAGCATCACTTCTGGGATTGAAGGTGTGCTGAATTATCTCACTGTCAAAAAAAACAATCCTTTTTCTTTTGGGCTAGATTGTCTACAACTGTTTCATTTTGATTGGATTCACCCATTTTTTCCCCTGACATTTGGAAACTTAGTCAGAAACACCAAAGCTATTCACTTACAAAAGGCAATCTGATTTTAAATGCCTGAAAACTCCTCAGGTCATCACAGTGATTTTGACCCCCTTACTTAGAAGGGCGTTTTAGCCAGGCAAGATTGGGTTTATTTTTAGCAGAAGACAGCTTTGTCTTTGTGGAGAGCCTCTTCTTAGAGGTTCCCATCCTTAGCCTCTCACTGTCATCCCGGGGGTATTTTTGAAGGTGGTGGGCACAAGTAAGTATATGTCTCTCTCTGGCTCCTTCTTCCCTCTGCTCTGTAGCAGAACTGACCTCTCCATAAAGTACTTACCTTGTCCAGGGTCACACCAGGAGAGTTGAACTCAGGTTTTCTTGGCTCCAAGGCATAGCAATATAGCAGTATAGATTCAGAACTAGTGACCGTCCTTGAGGAAACTAAGACAGGGTAAGTGGCTTGCCCCCAGAGTCATTCAGTTAGCGTCAGGAGTGGGATTTGAATAAAAATTGTCTGGAATCCTAGGACAGCATGCCATCCACTACATTTTGTTGTCTTCTGTTCCCCTCTGCCTCAGTTTCCAATCTGAGCCCTCTCTCCCTTAATAATAATAATAATAGCTAGCATTTATATAACGATATAAGATTTTACAAAAGACTTTAAAAATATTATCTCCTTTTATCCTTATAACCCTGGGAGGTAGGTGCTATTATTATCCCCATTTCACAGATAAAAAAAAAGGCACAGAGAAGTTAAATGACTTGTCCAATCTCACCCAGCTAATAAGCATGTGAAGCCAAATTTAAACTTAGGTCTTTTTTGACTCCAAGTCATAGCATTATAGGAATTCAGATTTGGAACTCCAAGGATCTTTTGAAGTCATTGAGTTCAACCTCCTTTTTATAAATCAGGAAACCGCGCCCCCTGAAAGAGATACCCAAAGGAAAACTCCTAGGAATATCATAGCCAAATTCCAAAGTTTCCAGGTCAAGGAGAAAATATTGCAAGCAGCCAGAAAGAAGCAATTCAAGTACTGTGGAAGCACAATCAGGATAACACAAGATTTAGCAGCTTCTACATTAAAGGACCACAGGGCATGGAATATAATATTCCAGAGGGCAAAGGAGATAGGATTACAACCAAGAATCACCTACCCAGCAAAACTGAGTATAATCCTTCAGGGGAAAAAATGGTCATTCAGAGAAATAGAGGACTTTCAAGCATTCTTGATGAAAAGACCAGAGCTGAATAGAAAATTTGACTTTCAGATACAAGATTCAAGTGGAACATGAAGAGGTAAACAGGAAAGAGAAATTGTAAGAGACTTATTAAGGCTGAGCTGTTTACATTCCTGCATGGAAAGATGATATTTATAACTCATGAGACCTTTGTCAGTATTAGGGTAGTGGGAGGGGGAAAATTATATGTATATATAGATAGATAGATAGATAGATAGATAGATACATAGATAGATAGAGGGCACAGGGTGAGTTGAAGATGAAGGGGTGATATCTGGAGAATAAAATTAAGGGGTGAGAGATGATTATACTAGGAGAAGGAGAGAGAGGTAGAATGGGGTACATTATCTTGCACAAAACAGACAAGAAAAGGTTCTTACAGTGGAGGGGAAACAGGGGAAGGTGAGAGGAAATGAGGGAATCTTATTCTGATAGGATTTGGCTTAAGGAGGGAATAACATACACATTCAATTGGGCAAGGAAATCTGTCTTACCCTACAGGAAAATAGGGGGGGAAGGGGACAAGAGAGCAGGGGGATGATAGAGAGAAGGGCAGATTGGGTAAGGAGTAATCAGAAGGAAATACTTCTGAGGAGGGATAGGTTCAAAAGAAAGAATAGAATAAATGGGGGGGCAGGATAGGATTAAGGAAAATAGAGTTAGTTTTTCACAACATGTCTGCTATGGACGTGTTTTGCATAACTGCACATGTTTGGCCTGTATTGACTTGCTTGCCTTTTCAATGAGGGTGGGTGGGGTGGGAGGAAGGGAGAAAATTTGGAACCCAAAGTTTAAAAAAAAAATGTTTCCACATGTAACTGGGAAATAAGAAATACAGGAAAAGAGGTACAGAAATATATCCTGCCCTACAAGAAAATAGAAGGGGAAGGGGATAAGAGAAGGGGGGGAGAGATAGAAGGGAGGGCAGACTATAGGGGAAGCGGTATTCAGAATGCATGCCATCTTGGGGTGGGGGAGGGGCAAGATGGGGTGAAAATATAGAATTCAAAATCTTGTGGAAGTAAATGTTGAAAACTAAAAAATAAATAAATTTATGTTAAAAAAATAAATCAGGAAACCGGGTGTTTCCTTTAACTGGGTGTTCATAGTGTTAAGTGACTTGGTCAGAGTCACACAAATAATAAAGTATATGATTTCACATTTGAACTCTAAAAAAGACATAGCATTATAGGAACTCGGATTTAGAACTCGAAGGAAACAGTCATTGAGTTCAACCTTTTACAAATTAGGAAACTGAGGCACAATGTTACATAACTTGGTCAGTCTCAAATCAATTCAATAAACATTTATCAAGCGACTCTGTGCCAGGCACTCTGCTAAGCTCGAGGATGCAAAAAGAGGCAAAGGGCAGTCCCTGCCCTTGGGGAGCTTACAATCTAAAGGATCGCACTATTAGGTCTTCCGGACTCAGGTTTCGCGCTCCAGCCTCTGGGCCACCTGACTCCGCATGCTGTTTCTCCCACGCTTTCCGGGAAGGATGCTGTGCTCATCCCGACGGAGCAGCGCACAGGACTCGGCTCCCTCACTTGTTCCTTCCGGAAAGTGCCGAACACCGCCTCCCTCCCCCTCGCTCGGCCGTTTCCGGCCCACAGCACTTCGGCAAATCCCGCCGCCCCCCGTCGGAAATGGCCGACGTCCGGGCGGCCGGCAGGGGGAGCGAGGGATCCGGCGCGGCCTGGAACGTAGGTAAGCGGGAGGCGGCGAGAGCCGGCTTTTGGGAACCCGAGCCGTACGCAGGCGGCAGCGGCTCTGGCCTGGGCTGGGGAACCGACGGAGCCCCGAGCTCCGGGCGGCGGGAACGGGAGTTCCCCGGAGCAAGGGGCTACGGGCCAATGGCCCCGGCTGGAGGCCCCGAATCCTCCTTCGGTCCGCGGTGACGAACTTCGGGGCGCCGAAGGTAGGGGGCGGACGGGACCATGTATTGTGCTGGGGGGGGGGGCGGCGGCGGAGAGCGGCGCGGGAGATCCGCGGAACCCCAGCGGGGAGGCGGCGACTCCTGCCGCCTAGCCCGGGCCGGCAGCCTCCTCCGACCGGGCCTGCTCCCGAGCCTCACGGGCCCGAGGAGGACACGGGGAGTGGACCGGGCTGCCGTGCCTCCCAACCCCCGCCCACCCCTCCGAGCCCGAGTTGGGTCGTTCGGAAGGTTTCCCCCCTCTCCCCTCAGCCCTCGCCCTGTCCAGCTGCTGCTGCTGCCCTGGAAAGCGCCCCCACCTCCGTGCGGATCCAGCCGCCTTCCTCCAGCATCCTCCCCGCTGGGAAGGGACAACGCTGGACAGCCCTCCCATGCCTCCTTCCAGTGCGTGCATTGCCCTCAGCCCCGCCGTCTCCGTCTGCCTTCAGACACCCATTCTCCTCTCGAGCGGCTGCATTTCTGCTGCTTCTTTCCCACCTTTCTTTCTCCTCTTGGGGGAGGGGGGCGCATTGGAAGCCTGACCTTGTCACTTGGCTGAATGATGGTCATCGTTCCTACCCCCACTTCCTGTCCTAGGGTCCCAGGGCTGCTCCCTTGTAACTAAGGGCTGAGCTCCTGCATGCTCTGTTGTTTATAGCCGCGGGCTGGTCCCTGGGAAAGGGGGGGGGGGAGCGAGAGGAGTAGTAGGCAGTCAATAAACATTTGTTAAGCGAAGCGCCTACTATGCATGCACTGGGGATACGAAGAAAGGTTTAAAAAAAAAAGGCAATCCCTGCTCTCTAGGAGTTCACATTTTAGTAGGGGTGACCACATGCAAACAATTATGTGCAAATAAACTATATACGGGATCAATTGAAAGTAATCAATGGAGGGAAGGCACTAGGATTAAGAGGGATTGGGAAAGGCTTCCTGTAGTAGATGGGATTTTAGTGGGGGACTTGCAGGAAGGTGGAGGGGGAGGAGGAAGATTGCCTCTCACTGTGGTTGGAAAGGGGCTGCAGCAGGCTGGTGGTCACCGTGTAGATCTTAGCCAGGCTCTCTTGTTCCAGTGAGGATTCCAGCCAGCATTGGAAATCTATTGCCCATTGGAGGTCAGTCAGGGATATTGGGCTGCAGATGGATGCGGGGTATTTTTCTTTCCCGGCTCATGTTCCCCCTTTAACTGGTGGACCAGTTCGAGTTTAGCTTTTGGAAAGCTAGGATTATTGTGTTTCTTCTCTCACCTGGTTTCTGTGGTTTGTTTTGTTTTAATATTCCAAGAGATAGCGAGCCCATTTTGAGAGGTGTTCAGATGCTCCTTGATGGAAATGCTTACCTTTTTCTGCAAGAGAAAGAAGAAACACCCAAAAGCATGAGTCCCCTTTTTTTTTTTAAATCAGTGATTTACTTGGGAAAATTCTTCAGCCGTTCTTTTTCCTTTGGTCTTGTTTTTTTCTTCTCTTTAAGTCCCATGTAATTTTAAAGGCTTGGCTCCCCAAGTCTGTTTGTGTATGTGGAGTCCATGCTGGCTATTTCTACTTTTTTTCTTCAGCAGTTAAATTTTGCATAAGCTTACTACTATCTCATGTTTTCTAGTCAGAGATGAGTAAGGCAGTAGGATTGAGGAAATGATTGGCTTAGTTACTGCTCCTTTCAGTAACAGATCTTTAAAGCTAAAAGGGGCCTTGAAAGAAGGTCCTGTCTTACCTTTCTGTTTTATTGATAAGGAAACTGAGGCTTCCAGAAGGGAATTGACTTGCCTAGAATTAGAGAACTGGAAGCTCTTCAGACTAGAACCCATGTATTGACTCCTAGTTTAGTTCTTTCTGCTATATTATGCTGCCTCATTGAGGGGCTTTCCTCAAAATCACACCGATGCAGCAATGGTTTGTGCTTCACTTGAACAGAAGAGTCTTTAGGTACCAGCACCCTCTGCTTTGGTCAGAGTACTTTCTGTTATAGCCAAGACACACGGGTGACCGCCATCTCATTATTAAGAATTCTGAGTCAGACATCAAAAAAGATCTAGGACTGTTCTTAGAGAGAGAGATGAAGTATAATCCTTTTTCAAGTAGAGATTGATATGATGTTAATACTGGAAGGGATCTTAGAAATCATGTAGGCCAGCCCTCCAGTCTTGAGTGGGAGAGGGGAGAGGGATGAATTGACTTCCCTACAGTCACAAGTTGGTAGACATGCTTAGTTATCACCCCTCCCTGAGCCTGTACCTACCTACCCCTTTTGTGTGACAGGCTCTACCAAGGGAGGTTGGAGGCATATGTTCCTGGACTTCCAGGTTAGAATTCTGTTTTCCCATATGTGGTGTTAGATTCTTCACAGTAACACTTCACCTTTATTAATGCTTTGCAGTTTTAAGTGATTTTCTCATTCAGCCTTTACTGGGTGGATAGAGCAAGTATTATAATCATTTTAAGTCTCAATGAGATAATGTATATAAATTTCACTGAAAATGAAATGCTATAGAAATGTAAGCTATTATTTTGTCCATTTTACAGATAAGGAAATTGGCTCAGAGGGGGTTAAATCCCTTGCCCACCTTCACCTAGTAAGTGGAATAGCCCGAAGTAGAATCAAGGTCTTGTCATGGCAAGCCTAGTGCTATTTTTACTAGCTACACCCTCTTATGTTGCCCTTGACATACTGTGATAACTTCTAGTACCAGAGTCAGCTAGAGGATTTTTTTCTTCCTAAATATTTATTGATGCTCTTTCCTTTTTTTTTTTAAATATCATTGTCCCTTTCCTTCGATTGAATCCTTCATTGTAACAAATAAATACAGTTAAGCAAAACAAATCTATGTGTTGCCCATGTCTGAAAATTATTGGTATAGTTTGACATGTTCTTTCGTGCAAGTGTTTTTAAAGAAAAGTGACGTGAAATTGGAAGTTGATTTGTGTTTTTTATTACTGTTTTTGTCCTTTCTCTATTCTCCTGCTGTTGGTAGAGAGCTGAAAAGATCTCCACAGGCTGGAACAATAGAATCTAACTAGATGAAATTTAAAGAGATATAATCGACTACATAGTTAACAGGATGAGAAAGATAGAGCTAGACAACAACAATTTATATGAGAAGGACCTGGCAACTGGGTGGCATAGCAACCAAAAAAGCTAATGAGATCCTAGGCTTCATTCATAGAAGCTTTGTTATGTAGAATAAGGTCGATTAAAGTCTCAATATGTTCTCTTAGATCTGAGTGCCACATTTTAGGCAGGATATTAACTAGCTTCAACAAGTCCAGATGATCATGGGATTGTGGATTTAGAGCTACAAGGAACCTCGGAGGACATCTTACTCAAACCCTCTGATTTTACCGAGTGGAGAACTAAAGCCCAGAGAGAAGTGACCTGCCCAAAGTCACACAGAAAGAGGCAGAGCTGTGATTTAAACCTAGGTCCTTTGACTTCCAATCTATCGCTCTACTGCACCAAACTAAAAACTCTTCCAGGAGCATTGGGTTTTTGTGGGGGAAGGGAGAGAAAAAGGAAGGCGACGCACTTTTCATTCTGAATTTGGACACCAAGAAAAGAACATTTGTATACATAGCGCAGAACACCAAAAGAAGATTCTGTATGAAACTCTCCATCTCATTTCTAACTGCTTACTTTTAAAAAAGTGTCTCTGTATACACACACACACACACACACACACACACACACACACATACACACACATGCAATTTCAAAACTGCCTTGCTTGTTTGTGTTTTCTTTTGAACTCCCTCTGCTCTGTGCATTTAAAAAATGCTCCTATGGTCCTCTCTTTTTTTAAAGTATCACTTTTGCTACCTCCCCCCCCCCTTAAAAATGGGGTAAAAAGAAAGAAAATCCTTTGTAACAAATAAGCATAGTCCATCAAAATGAATCCATAAAGTCAGAATGACCAAAAATGCGTATGTCTTTCTGTTCCTGCTACTTATGGCCTCTGTCTGGAGATTATGCTTCGTAGGAGGTCCTAGTCTAGAACTGTGGTTGAGAATGACCAGCCAGGGTTGTAAAGGGAAGTGAAACCTCGCCCTACCAGGATTACCTGAACGGGGGTGGTTAGTCTGGAGAAGCTGTCTTCAAATCTGTGAAAGAATATCCTAGGGAAGAGATAGAAGGATTCGATTTGTTTTATTTGTAGAGGACAGAGTTGGGACTGATAAGTACAAGTCCAGAGAGGCAGACTTTGATTCTGTTTGGGGGAAAAAAACCCACTAAACTGATTAGCAATTATAACTGTTCTGAAAAGTCTTCAGGCCAGTAGCAACTTCCCAGTCTTTAGAGAGACTCAAGGGATGATAAGATGACCACTTATTCAGTAATGTAGAAAGGATGCCTGCATCAGTTGAATGACCTTTTAAGCCCCTTCCAAACTGAGCTCCTGTAATTGTAGTTGTTAAATAAGCTTTTGTGAACTGGCTTGGAAACTTGATGATCAAGTATATGAGAAGGTGCTTCCCCGCTTATAAATGAATGACAGAAGATGACAGAAGTTCAGGACTGCCTGGTTTTTGTGTGTGTGTTTCTTTGTGTTTCTTTTTAGTTTACTAGTAAAAGTTCCTTTGAAAATCTACAACTTTATTTCTGATTTTCCCAGCCCTTAGTATACATAGGTGTGTCCGTGGATGGATGTGATATTTGTTCGTAGTGAAATAGGACTGGTTTCATAGACAGTGGATAGAACTAGCTGGGCACGGGTGAGCATGGGAATTCAGGAAGTATAGAAATGATGTCCTCTTTGGACCTTGGTCCTTTTCCAAATGGGCCATTCTTTCACACCTTTTCCCTGTCATCTCCAAATATCTTTGGTGATAGTAGCAGATTGAGGAGAAGAAAATTTTCCCCCCATTTTAGTCTTTTTAACAAAAAAAAAAAACAACCCAGCAACAACGGAAGAGGGATAGTATGGGTTTGGGGACAGCTCTATTCTATATTGTTCTCTCTTGTAAATTCGCATTATAGTGTCAAATGGAGCATATTTCTAATGTAGCAAGATGCCTTGT